TGACCTTGGGCCACTCACTCTCTCTCAGCCCCAGGAAGGAGGCCATGGCAAACCACTTCTGAAATCTTGCCAAGAACTTGCAGGGACTAGCCCAGGCAGTCACCAGGAGAACACTGACTCGAAGGCGTGCGCGCGCACACACACACACACACAATGGGAGAAGCAAGTTCAGATGTACAAACTTTATATTCATCCTGGTCCTATTTGATGCACATAGGACTGCACATGACCAGCATCAGAAGTGATGGCCCTGGTAGGTTCCTAGCAGTTGTTTAAGAATTTGGGAACCAATTCTGAATATGTTAGTTTTCCATATCTAGGTATACTGATAGAGACTCAGACAAAATGTCTCTTTTTCCTGTGTTCCAAAGGAATATGGTCCAGGGAGTATTAAACCACTTGTTTTTTTCTCCATATGTAATTGGCTCTCAGAGAATAGTGAAGAAAATGGCAAGAAAGTAGGGGGACTAAATTCCTGCAATATTATAAGAACCCAGTGACATGCATTACACAGCCATCACTAGTTTCTACAACCACATGACCAGGATGGATGAGTGAATGAAACATAAGTGGATACACACATTACTTGAAAAGGATGGATTGGATTGGCATTACCTGGCTCTTCCAATTATCTGGCAAAGGGATGTGATGATTGGGTCCACCCTGTTTCTCATTGTGATACATGATGTTGTTGAGGTCAGGAAAATTACGGTTAAGGTCAACTCCATTGGCGTTGTTTCTCCCAGTAAGGTAGTCTAAGGAACTTTGGTTCTTGAAAGAGAATAATGCATTTTTGTGTAAGTTTTAGAGATTTTAGCTCGTCTCTTGAGTCATCAGTGGGAGTATATGCATTTCAGAAAAAATAAGAATATAGAAATCCTTCAGGAGCTTCTGGATTTCAGGGTGCTAAGAATAGTTGCCAGATATTTATTGAGCAGGGTCTTCTGATGCAACTTAGCATAGTCAGAATTCAACAGGCAACCCTAATTTAAAGATGATTATATTTTAAATAACATCCCTTTTTCCTAAACACAATTGCATTCGAAGCAGCCACAGTGCACACCCACATGCAAAATGCAAGATTGAAATTTCCTTATTTTTATGGTCCAAGAACCTTAAAGCCAGTTTGTATCATAGGAATCAATTTTCCCCTGGGCTGGAGAATTGGCTGTTGCTTTTACTAATCAATGTCACTTGCCCTGCTCAAGATCCTTTGCTGAAAGGACTAGGAACTACTCAGAGTACCAGAACTAAAACTATGATTTCCAAAACAATAAATGGTCAGAACAGTTTGGAACTATATTAAGTGCACTATTATAAATTAAAAGAGTTTGTGGTTAGAAAGGCTGTTATCTGGAAGTCCCCCAGTTGCTATGACTTTCCCCCAATGAGAATGCAGTCCATCCTTTCAAGTGCAAGATAGTGAAATCAAGTTGGGCAATGGCATTCACCGCAATGTAATGCCTGTTTCCCAATCAGTGAAAAATGTGGGGGAAGATTGAAATCTCTAACCTCTGCAAGCCTGCAACTATAGCATCATGAGATCCTAGTGCAGTGTTGTCCAAACTTGGCCACTTTAAGA